GCTGCTCACAAAACAGGCCACGCTTTTCTAGCAAGACAAGCAAGTGTGATCCAGAGAGAGCTTTTCATTAACAGAAGAACATGAAATAAATGAAGAATAATGTTCAATGTTAAAAATCAATTAACATTAATTAATCACTGACTAATGCAATGTTCCCAGCATTAATCATTCACTCCTGCTGTAATCAGAACATCAGCCAGGCGAACGACACGTAAAACTCCCGAGTGTGATGTTTGCCATTGTCCTGTAAACACGACGACTGCCTCCAGGAAAATCTGCCTCCCACCTCAGTGATCTGCCCGCCCGTCTGCCAACACCGGAGCGTCCTTCAGAAAGCTCCAGCTACACCCCTGTCTTGTTACGTGACGCAGGCTCAGGCACGACGCCTCTTCTGCAAATGCCAGCTGCTGTTCAGTACATGAAGGAGGACCACGGGCTTTTCTCACTCGCAGCCTTGCTGCGTAAGGGCCAGGGGGATTTTTATTCCCTGTGCTTTATGGATCGTAGCTCTTCTGCCAAGATGTTAGAGCCATTTGGAAAGCAGACTGTGATTCCCTGGAGGTTTTTGATGTTTCACATGTGTTTCAGAACAGGAAACAGGAAAAATGTGGTGGAAAAGAAAGCTTGTTTCTTTAAACTAAAGTTTTGAATGTGAGGTACCTATGACAAAGAGCAGATTTTACCAAAATCAGAGAAAAATAAATCCATCAAGAGACAGAAAATATTTATCAGTTTAATTAAAACAGCCACTTAGTTTAAAATACTCCATGCTGTGATCCTGACATGAAGTCAGTGTCATCCTCACTGGGTTTGTTGGCATCCCAGTTCTTCCCATGGCAGCAGGACGTGGTGTCTCAAACTGGACCCTTGCAGGACCTAAAGGAAAATGAGTATGGCTTAAGAGGAGTGACACATTTAAAAACTTGCAAAAATGGGGAAAGCTATAGGGAAGGGGGAGTGCAAACTTTTTTATTTAGGTGCTATTTATTTAGTGCACAAATTGAGTGAAGTGGATCAACTTCCAATTTTTTGTGTGGTTAGAGCATGGCGCAGGCTAGCTGGTACTGTCGGTGGCTTTTGTTTGCCGGCCTGAACCATACCAGCAGCTTTCAAAACCAAACTGAAAGAAAACTGGCAGTGGTGGGTACATCTGAGAGGACATTTAGGGGACACAGTAGGTAGCAGTACAACTACGTTTAAGATCGCCTATTGCTCAGGCATCCCTGGCATCGTACCACAGCTTTTTCTGCTTTTTGCTCATTCCTCTTGTGTCTGCGTGTGAACGAGAGACTTCCCATCACGGGGCTGATCATTCAGCGCCTTTCAGCAGTGCTAGGTGATGGTTTTACAGACTGATCAGGGTGGAGGAGACTTGGTTGTTAAACGTCCAGTTATTTAACGGCAGTTCTGTGTGGATAGTTTTACTGAGGCTTTTTTCTGCACCTTGGAATCTGAAACCCAGTCTGCATGCATCCAGCCACCGCTCTCCTGGCGCTGGGGCAGGAGGTTTGCTTGCATGATGTGAGCCAGGAGCCTCCAGCCCCCTGCCCCGAGGGGGAGGCCTGGGCCACTCTCAAGAAGCACCAGCATGTGCTTGGGAAAGGTTGACCAAGGGTATGAATTTCACGATCAGAGTAATGAAATTATAGCCCTTCTTGTTCTCCCTTGGACCCCGCTCATCTTCCTTGCATGGTGAGACCATTTACATCACCTCTGGGAACAGGGAACGGTGAAATTTGGCCAAACTGGGGTTGGGTCTTGATGAAGTGGGTCAATCTGTTTTGATTTCCAAGTGCCCTTCAGCGTTCGCAGGAGCTGAAGGGCCATGGCTGGGAGCTGAGCTGGAGAGCAGCCGTCGGCACGCAGCAGCACAGTGTCTTGTCTTGTGGATGTTGCTCTGACGAGCGTAAGCAGGAGATCTCAGAGAGAGGGGGCCTGGCCATGGAGATCTGACTGGAGTTCACGGGATGTGCTGTTTTTCAAACTAAATTCACCCTCGGTAAAAACAAAACAGTAACGAAGAAGAACATATGATGTGAAGTATGGGAGAAAGGTTCCCAGCTGAGTCTGAGAGAGGTTTGTCCACATCCAATTGGATGTGAATGTTAAAAAAGGAAGAGAAGAAGAAATAAGGAATTGTTAGATTTTAGCTGATGCAAACAGATGTTCCCTTTGGATACCTGGGAAGGAGCTTGCATGTGTGGGAAGGGGAAACATGCCTGCAGCATGCTCTGATGTACTGGACAAAGTTGAACTCTAATGACTGCAGTCCATATTGTATCCATTTAAGGACCTTTCTCCCCATAATCAGACAAAATCTTATGAAAATTATACTCTTCATACATATAACTTTATGTTACTTTTACATATCCTGTAAGAAACACTGGTTAAAAAAAAAAAAAACAACAAACAATATTTGCTTTTTATACTCCAAGTGCTTGAAACAGCCAGAAGTGCTTAATATTTTATGGACACAGGTAAAAAGCTAAAAAACAAGAAAGTCTCATAAGTAGTATAAGCAATGGAGCAAATTCTGTAGAAGCTTTGCTCTTTGTAAAAGTGCAGAATATGCTTCTTTTGATTTTTAGTTGAGAAAGCAGTTGTCGGCAAGTTAGAATACAAACATTGCCACGGATAAAAATTCATATTTCATCCTTTCTTTTATTTATAATTTAAAAACCCAAGACTCAGCTATCTCAGTAGGGCTCTGTTTGTGGGACTGTGTGTTGTGTGCTGGATGCTTGTCTACTAACAGGTAAACAGCACCCATAAAGTCAGCCTGGTTAACTGTTCCACTTAACGTAATACCATCTAATAAATAGATGAGTTAAGCTGATGAGCAGCTTAGCAAACCCCGTTAAATGCTTTGTACGAATGAGAAGAGAGCAATCCTAAAATGTCACCAGTCATTTATTACAACAGCAACTGTAGGCACAGACAAATTAGGAATTTAACTTCTTTTTGACAGCCAGGGTGCCCAGCATTTTCTGTGTAACTGCAGTAGTTGGTGTTAGCTGAAAGTCATCCCTAAGGTAGATTAAAAATAAAGAACGCTGATAAATTGGTGTAATCTATTTATTTGTCTTTGAGAGTGATCCCCAAGCTTTTCTGGCCCTTAGGCAAAATACTGAGCAAGTAAATCATGCACCAGTGGTCAACACCATGCTGTGTTCTTCCTGGCAGCCTCAATTTTAACTTTTGTAATTTTCTGTGACTGGATCACTGGAAAGTCTCGCTGGCAACATGTTGTACACAAGCCACAGATCTAAAATAAATCTGACAAGGCTTTGTAGACCACTGCTGTCTTGCATTAAAAACCTAAAGCATCCCAGCCTTCAGATTGATTAGCCACGTCTGTGCTTATAAACCCAGCGGACGTGCAAAGGACTGACACGACTCATCCGAAGGAAATGCCGTGCCAAGCAACGGGGGATTCAGTTCTCCGACATCCACAGCAACAGCCCGAACACCCGCTGAAAGTTCCAGTGTTTGTTTAGGTTTAAAAATTCATAGCGAGTAAGAGCGGTCCCACGGCTGGGACTGATGCAGCCAGTTCCCTGCGCGGGGGTCCGGCCGGTGTGGGGCTTGAGCAAGGGCCACGAGCTGTGTTTCACCCCAGGATGATGCTGAAAGAAGCTAAAAAGCTCTTAAATAAGTCCTGTGCTACAGTTTGTTACGGTTTATAATAAACCAGTAATTTCTACCTTTACGCACAGGGACGTGTCTCAACTAAATGTTCAGGTATTTAATAATTTGGGATGGTTTGGATAAGTTCACTTATCTTCTGGGTCTTGAGAAGCAGTTTGGCTTTACAGGTCTGCTTTTACTCTGCTGTAGTAGTTATAAATGTACATGCAGATAGATACGGTGTGTATTCTGTGGAAATACTGCATTTGCTCTCATCTGCTGCTGAACTCTGTGGGAACCGAGGGCGCCAAGCCCTTTGCAGTATTGAGCCTGGGGAAATATAATGTTTATCCTTCTGAGAAGGCAGGAAAGCTAATAAATACTTGTAGGAATGGTGTACAGAGGCAGAATACGAGAATGCAGAAGATGCTTGTAGTGAGGCATGAAATACTGACCTTTCTGCAGTCTCGAAGTCTAAAATCATTATATATGATCGTGTTTCGTGTATATTTCAAACCTTTTTTTTCCCCTCCTTGGCATCTCAAGTGAGAAATATGGCAGGTTCCTTAATTTAAAGAGCAGTCCCAGACTGTTACTCAAACAATTGCATAATGGCTCCGGGGATTAACATACTGTCATCTTGATAACTGCTTAGGGACCTTTGTTATCAAGGTAAAAATAGCCCTGGACAATATTCTGGTTTCTCTGTTATAAAAAGTAACTGTCAGTCTCCTTCGCACTCTGACCTTAGAGGGAAAAGCAATGGGCCGTTTGTCATGGGCAGGCAGAGTTTTAGGACAGAGCTGAATTACAACCAGGTTGTCTTTGTGGGTCAGAGATGTCCATGCTCAGCCATCTTCGTGACTGTCCTTCACAAGAGAATAAAAAATAAACATCCTTTTGTTTAAATCTGGAGTTGCCGTGTAATGTTTAAGAGCTTCTTCATCCTCCAAAAACTGATGAAGGTTCCTTCTGGCGTTCAGCCAGCCATGGCAGGTATAGGTTGAAACTCAGTTGCATTCAGGATCCCAAATAACCTGATGCTAGTAAACCCAGAAGATCAGTAAAAAGAACTTGGTGAGAATAATGGTTTGTGTGTGCTGTATTTGAATAAGATTGCCTGAAAGGAAGAAATTATGAATGTGCACATGTACAGTTGTTTTCAATTGATTAATGATTTTTCTGTGTAACTTGAAGTCAATGAAAAAATTGTTTCTTTGACTTGTACATTGTAAAGGAACACGGTAGAGAAATATAGATGGATGCAACATGAACTGAGGCTCAGCTGAAGCTAACTGCTTTAGCTAACTGCTGCAAGAAGTGCAATAAGTATATGAATATGTGTATTTATCAGAAATTATTTTTTTCTACAGATCCCACAAATCAGTTATGCCTCAACTGCACCAGAGTTGAGTGATGACAGGCGCTATGATTTCTTCTCACGTGTGGTTCCTCCAGATTCCTTCCAAGCACAAGCAATGGTGGACATTGTGAAAGCTTTGGGATGGAATTATGTGTCCACTTTGGCATCTGAAGGGAATTATGGAGAAAAAGGAGTCGAGTCCTTCATGCAAATTTCCAGAGAGGCAGGTAGGCAACGCCCGTCCTCCCTCCAGAAAATTCTATAGAAGTAATGAATGTTATTTTGTACCAAATGTTATATTATTTTTCTAGAACGTATATTTGATTCTAAAGTCACTCCAGTTCTTTGCAATGCCTCTGTAGTGTCTCCTAGGTACTCTCATTCCTAAATTACTTATGGAGTTTCAGAGAGTTTGAAACCTTAGTGGTTTTCAATCGTTTCTGGAGAAAATACAAAACCCTGAGTCTTATCAAGCTCCTACTATTCCACTGTATGGCATTATATTATGTTGACATGGGTAGAAGACAGATTTTAAAATGCTGAGCTTTTATCTCTCCACAGCTAGAATTCTGTGAAGACTGCTTGTTACCAGACATCGACTCGTGTCATACTATTGCTATTCACCTTTCAGATCGCTGCCTGATTTGTATTGCTTTTCTTTAGCATCTCAATTCAGTTGAGAAAATTCATAATCTTTTACTTGAAGGCTCAAAGACCGCTGGCCTGGGATACGGAGGCAGCAAAACTCAGCCATGTGGTGCAAGGCACATCAGACCCTTTGGTGTGATGCATCATGGTTTTCTTGTTACTGGTTTCATTTCGTGGTGTCCCAAGAAGGCCAGACTGTGTTGGACAATGTCACTTGCCACTGAGAGATGGTCCAAGAGGACGGGGAGATGCTGTCTTGTGCTGGGTGAGGCTTATGGTATCGAGTTGAACCTTTGTAATTTTGTTGACAGAAATCTCCAATTCTCCAGCTTGCTTTCCTGTTCTGGTACAAAACAAAGAGGAGAGCTGTCTTGAAGGTGTGACTGCTGTGTCAGCGTGCTCGTACCCCTGTAACTTCCTCTTCAGGGTAAATAGTTCTAAACTTCCCCAGAGATGCCAGAATGTAGGAGTATTTTAGATGGTGCTTCAGGGAACAGAGGTATAAATCCATCGCAAGTTGCTTTGCAACCCAGAATGATAAAGGTGGGGAAATTGAAATATTTAAAGTTGATTCCTGTGCTGGTAAGGGAAAATAAGCAGCTGATGTAATTTGTTATTGGTGATGTATGCATAGCCTGTCTCCTGAAGCCTTCAGTGATATATCCTGATTGGGAACCCACCATCGTTGTACAACAACAAGCTCAGCTGTTTTCCCAAACCAAACTCACAGATCTCCCACCCTGTAACTGCCCTGGCGTCGCGTTTAATAAAACCAGCACGAAGCAATCCACCATCCCCTTGCTCCGTCGCAAAAATCACCGGCCAGAGTAGGGAGTGCACGGAAAGAAGGGACTAGGACGGGACGGGGCTGCTCGGCAGCAGCCGCCGGCCGTTTCCATCCCCTGGGCTGTGGCAGAGCTGGCTTGGCAGCACACGCTCGCTTCGGACCCGCGCAGCGTCGCCGGCTCCCAGGCTGATGGATCCTGCCTGGCAGCATAATCCAAGGAGTGAGCCGGGAAGGCAGCTGCATGGAAAAGAAAGGGGCTTTAGAGAGGGGAATCCGGAATTGTTTCATTATGTTGATATCACAGAAGGAACCTATATTTGCATAAATCTGTCTGTTCGTTCGAATGCATATTTATACGGTATTAAAGAAAATGGATTTGGATTTAATACTGCAGGAAGTGACAAATGCCGGAGTTCATTATAATTTAAAATTGGCTTTATTTGCAAATATCCACTGTTGCAAAATCATACCAGAAATGCGTTCTCTATGTCAAGGACAAGCTCTAGCTGAATAATACCGTATCATTTTGTAGACCTTCTGCAGAATTAAATTAATGATAGGAGCTGTTCATGTAGTCAACACGTAATTCAATGTCCTTCATAAAAAAATAAAGCATAAAACCAAAAGAATACCCTGCTTAAAACAGCTTTGCGTGCAGGGTGGTACAGGTCACACCTACAAGATTAAGACACTAGCAGGGATAGTGCATGAACTTTCTTTCATAGACACAGCCTGCCTTGTCTGCAAACGGGAATAATCCAATCCCTGGTGCTGCCTCCGGCTCCGTACAGCTTCTTTTTCTTCTTAGGGCTGTGCTGAATTTTTTTTTTGTGTTACAGAGATAAAGCTAAGGTGAAGTTCTGAGGGGATTTAATACCTGTCAACAAGCTCCCTGGGTTTTTTAAAACCCTGGGAAGTGTAAGAAAATCCTGTTGTCTAGATATTTAATGGAACGGTGCTGCCTGGAGATAGAGATCCTGACCTGGATCCCCCAATGAGGAAATGGCACCATGTGACCCAATGTTGGGGATCGGTTGTGATTATCTCCCTGGTGCCGTTTTGGGGGGTCACGTTCCAGTGGGATTTGCCCGTGGTCTGGGGGAGATGGCATTTTCGGGTTGCTTTCCTGGTGCCTGATGTGGCTGTGTTTCCTTGAGGACATTTTATGCAAAAGAAATGATTAACCAGGCTGTCAGGTGATTGCTGTAATATCAGGGTTTGGAAAGAGCCTCCCGAAGAAGCAATAAGGAGCAATAATTTTTCTGGCTCGCGGATGTGGTGTAGTTATTAGCTCCTTGATCTAGCTATTTAAAAACATTTGGGTGGTCAAGAGGCGTGTGTCTGCATGCACGAAGTGAGCAGTCCTCTCTAATGAGGGACAGGAGGTTTCACGAGATAGAGGAGTATTACCAAGATCAGTTGCACGTCAAGTATTGAATATATTTAAATGGGTCCAAATACAAGTGGCACACGTGATGCTCCTCAGGAGGAGTTGTGCCACGCTTAAAGCATTGTCCGTTTAATCTCTGTGTTCAGGCTCTGGTCTGGCGCAGGGTTGGGATGCTGTGTGGGCTGCCGCAGCTCAAGGCAGAGATGGGAACCCAGCGAGTTCTGCGTGCGCAGACTGGCAGCCCCCCTGCTCCCAGCCCCAGCACCCAAGTAATAAACCCCTAAACAAAGTGGTGGCACGCAAAGCTCTGCGGCCTGGTGCAAATCAGGGAATGCAATAGGTGCATCTATAGCTCCGAGGTTCTTTTTAGTCCTGGTTTCTTCACGCTGCCCGGGCTGTGAGAAGGCGATGGGGTGCTGGCTGCTGATGGAGAGCTTTACCGGCTGTAGGGATTGCAGAGCTGGGGTGAACCCTGACACCCCTCCCCACACACACACACGTGCCTGACCCCCTTTTGGCAAGCAGAACAGAGTTGGGAGAGGTGTCAGAGCAGAGGTCCGTGTGTCTGTCCTTCCTCAAGGGGCCCCTTAGGACCACGTGCGTCTGCCAGGAGCAGGAATGGCCCCGGAGCGGAGGGAATTAGTCAAAGTTGGAGACAATAAGCAGTTGCTATTAGCTCTAAGAAAATTGCCTTGTATCTCATAATCAGTGTATTTTGTCAGAAAGGAAGATTTAGTCCATAGGTACCAGCACATTCGTTATCTTTGGCCTCAAATCTGCAGCAAGCTAATTATCCTAAATTCAGTGTGTTATCCAGACTTGTTTCTGATTCAGCCAAGATCTTAGGAATTGTGAGGATGAGTAGAAAGTGCTATTCTTGCTTAGTTTTCAAATATGCTTTAACATATAAAGACTTTGCTTGATCCTTTGAGTTAATAATTCTCCAGAAAGTGACTTTTATTATGAGTACTTCAGGCAAGTTTGAATATGTCATTGTGGCAGGAGATGAAGATTTGAAACATTCTCTGCAGTCTGTGGGATTAATAAATTAGGGGAATGGTCTAATTATGGAAAATCTAAAGGACAATTTCAGATTATTAATGAAACTACTGAATACTTGAATTTCAAAGATTAATTCGTCTTTGATTTTTTAAAAGATTAATCTGTACCAGAAGGTTAATTGCTATCTGTCAGAAATACATATATTGGTGCTGTTAGCAAAAGACCACTTGAATGCTTCCCAACAAATAAATGAAAGATCTAGCATACATTTATTAATCTTTTTCTCCCCCAAACCCGCCCATTTTCACAGATAGGTACACTGGCTGCTTTGCTTGTGGAGACTTTGATGCTCTCCCCACAGGCTGCGGCACAGACGGTGTAGGGAGGGAGATGCCCGGATCTGCAAACCCCTGCGTCTGCCTCCTCCACCTCTTTCTTCTGCCTTTCCATAGCTCTCCTGTCCAATTTCATCTCTGAAAGAAGTATTTCCGCTCAGCAGGGCTGATTTTGAGCACAGTTCTGCTTGTTTGCATGAACTAGACCCGTTGTATTGTACGGAGCAGCATGTCAATAATAGAGTATCTTAATCTACTAACAAAGAATTCATTTAGATGATGATGTTCTCAACCATTTGGAAGGACAGGAGGAGAAAAATTCTGGGAAAGCATGCCTTCTTTCTCTGCGTGCTACAGACATGACAAAAGGAATTAAACCTCTTGTACCACTGTGCTGATATGATAATATACACTGAAGTTTCTTCTGAAGACCTTTCGTTGTGGTGTCACGTTTTTTTAAAAGGCTATCATCACCCTGACAGAAGAAAAAAAAGCAGAATAAGCTTTAATCCACTTTAGCATAGGAAGCGCAACACTTGTGACAGTCTCTTTATCTTCTTTTCTCCTTTTTTTGCTGAAGACTTGTTTTGAAATACTCATTTCTTTAATTCTTCTGTCTCCATGATCCTCGAGCACTGCGCAGACATCTGTTACGTAAGGTTGAGAACATCTGCATGCAGCACGATGGCCTCGCTGCACACACTGCAGGAGCTGAATCTGCTCAGAAGCAGAGGAAACCTCAAAAAACATTCACTGGCAGGGCAAAGAGACCCTTGAAATTTTGAGTCCTTCTCCTCATGCTCATAACTAGAATTGTTAACCAGCAGTGATACCAGGCAGTATTTCTTTACTATCGATATAAACTTGAATTTCTTTTTTATCTTTTTTTTTTTTTCTTTTCCCAGCTTTATATTTGCTAGTAAAGCCTATATGTCTGCATACATGTACAGACCTATATGAGACACATTGCCCTTATGTCTCACAAGTGACACTCCACCAAACTCAGATGAATCACTTTTTTGCATGCTGTTATAATCCGTGCATTAAATAGTATAATCTCCTAAT